GTCAATATCTCCAGCTTTGAGGCCTGTGTACCAATCAAATACATTCCCTTTGAGGGAACGAATGAATTGTTTGACAAGTAGATCTCCGCCTGTACCAGCATTGCCGCAACTTTTTACAAAGTATGCGACATGTTGCTTGGGATTGTCTTTTCCGTCAAACTGTAGAACCTTTGGAGGTTGATATCTAACCGGCATTTTTAAGATGTCAATTCTTTCTGTGTAAGAGTTTGAGTATATGCGAGCACTTTGAGGGATGCAATTGTATTGTTTTCTTATGATATTCACTATCATGTCTTGTATTTGTTGGACAGAAAGTAAGGTGACGAAGGTAGCTTCAATTGTTAGATTGGCGGACATGTCATTTTGATCATCAATTGTAGTGTTCTCTGACATGGAATTAGAATGAGGAATTTAATCTTTGCTTGACTTAGCATTGTCGTCATGCAATTTTAACTTTTCTGTTAGCGAGGTAATTTTCAAATCTTACTCCTTGAGAGTGTGTTGTAATCTTTCAATTGCACGGGCATACTCGTCAATTGCATTTCGTACGAAGTAGTACTCGTCATCATGACTGCCATAGTGACGGAGTCAGAAAAAATCTTTGGCCTTGGGTAGACTAGCCTTGAACTTGAACTTGTGACTGGAGTAACCCTTAAGTTTGTAGGAACCTTCCTTCTTGCCCCTAGTGAGGTGATGGCGGTATGAGTTTGAGTTGTTACTTTGACAGATTTGGCAAAATCGACTCTCATCACATCGTGCTGTCTTTTAGCAGGAACATATGACATCATTAAACTTGCAAAGATGTTTGTACCACTTAACGAAAGTTGCAACCTTCTTGCCACCGTTCGTGGTGGTAATGATGTTATTCGTCATGACTATGATGTCCTTAGGGGTTTTCTTACTTTTTGTTTAAATCTTCTTGAAAGCCATAATGTAATGACCGTGTCATTTTCTTTCCTTTTCTTTCCTCTATTTTTAAAGATAAAATTTTTTCCGTTGATGTTTTCTTTTCTGAGTCCAAGTTTTGACCCTTCGGATCATTGCGAGTGCTTGGGAATAGTTCCCGACACTTATTCTTTTGGGAGATTGGTATTGTTTCGGTGAAGACCGTGCCGTCTCCTATTTTCTTTTTCGAGCATTTTCCTTTTTCGTCTTTTTCCCATTTATCACTTCTTCTGCGTAACCTCGCTTTTTGTGCTCGGAGTTGATTTCTGACTTCACATACCTTCATTCTATGTGGTTTCCACGAAATAAGTGTCTTTACTTTTGTAGAAAAGTACTCTGGTTGCTCACTTTGTCTATATAGGCATGGATGCAAAGTTTCTTCAGAAACATTCTCCTTTATTGGGGTGTTTTTCATAAATATCTTTGAAGATATTTTATTTTGGGGGTTTTTAAGAAAATATTTTTGGAAGATATTTTCATTCTGGGTTATTCGTGCAGTTATCCCTTTTTGGAGGGGCCATTGTGCAATTAACGAAAGTTATTACAAAATGCCTCATTTTGAGCCTGGATCCTCGTGCAGGATTCATTTTCACATTTCGTCAAGTCGTGTACTCTTAGAATTGTCTCCCGGTCATTTTTCCCAGTTTTAGGGTTTCTGACCCTAATTGTTGTCGAACTTATTCGGGAGTTTTATTTTAGTCTGTATCGATATATTCTCTCTGGAGAACGAGAGAAGGGTGAGAAGAGAGGGAAGAGTGGAGGCACAAGGTTTGGGAAGAACATCTACACACTCATCTCTCTAGAGCTTCAAGGAAGAAGAAGAAGGAGCAAAGCATGTAGGAGGATCTTGTTGACACCTTGACCACCATAACCATGATGGGCTAGATCTCCACTTAGGGCTTGGTTGAGCCCTAAGTTTATGTATTTCTAAACCCTTGTATTTTTATTTTTGGGGAGATTAATATATTGTTGTAGTTGATGTTATAACCTTGTGATTCCTATTTACATGCTTGATTTGACAAATCATAGCTTGTGTTGGTTTAATTCTTCCATTAACTCTATATGTTAATTATATGTATATGTATAATTAATCTAGGTTATGCTTTTGATTAGATGTTAAAGATTAATTCTTTCATTAATTCTCTATGTAAGTGCATGTCTATGTGTGATTAGAGGATTATACTCAACACTCGATTCCATTGTTATTTGGGTTTAGTGATGGCCATGGCATGGGTTTTATTGGATGGGATTACTGATTAATTTGATGGGTTATACTTTATCTTGATGGGTTGTGCTACAAATTAGTTTACTTTTCAGTAGGTAGACAATTCATTGCTTGAATTGATATTCCATACTTATTATATGCAAATTCCATTATCCTCTTGATTAATGTATGTTCTCATTAGATGCAATTGTGGTTAGTTTGATGGAGTGTGCTTAGGCTTGATGGGTTGTTCTACACCCTAGTTTACATGTCATTAAGTAGACAATTCATACTTACATTTGATAATTCATGCATACTTGATTGCAAGTTGTTTTAGTGATTGAAGCTACATTTAAGTTGCAATAATGTTCTCCCCATTAATGAAAAACAAATGGTTAATTGCATGAGCTTAGTGGTGATTCCAATAAGAATTCTCTTCTATCTCTTAAACCCTTAACTCCAACTTAGTTTATTTTCATTGTATTTTAATTTAATTGTTCACTAGCTTAATTAACCAACCATCTCTTTTATTCTCTCTCTTATGGTAATCACTTGTTAAAACTAATTGTCTTATTTAAATCCAAGCCATAGGTCTCTTGGGTTCGATCCCTACTCACTATATACTTCATTATAGTAGTAGTGGTTTTTATAAATTTAAATTTGACTCTTTGATAATTCTTTGAAAAAGTCTTTTCCTAAACCACACATTAAAACATCTCATTTTGATTAAAGGAAAAACGACCCCCACAAAGGGGCTTGATTAAGTTTTGGCACCGTTGTCAGGGACCATTGGTTTAATTGGAGTTAAATTAGATGTTGGTTTTCATTTGATTATTTGTATATTCTTACTATTTTCTTATTTTTCTCTCTCTAATGTGCAATTAGGTATTTGATACGAGAAAGGCAAACATTGGAACTTAAAGCTATTATTGGAATTTGAAGTTGCTTAAGGACATTTGTGAGCAATTCTTACCCTAATTGTTCATTTTTCTATGCTTGCGAGATAGTCCTTGTTGAAGCTTTCATATTGCTTAAATATTTTATCCAAGCATAGGTCCTTGTCGAGGCCATTACTTTCATTGTTATATGCATGAGCCATTGTCGAGGCAATTATTTTATGGTTTTTGGATTGTGAATGTGAATGGAGCCCTTGTTTGATCCAAGTTTGGGGAAATTTTTTTACCCATTATCCTTATGCATCTCCATCATATCATGATCCTTATGAGAGTGAGTCCAATGCATTTCATGAATCATCATCATGTAATGGACTTGATCACTCTTATGATCCCTCTTATGACTACTACCCTCTCCTACCATTTTATGAAGAACCATCTCTATTACCTTACTCTCCCGGATTTGAAAATAAAATGTTAGCTCTAATTGATGAACTTAATGAAAGGAGACAACTCATTAATTCTCATTCTCATATGCTAGCAATGCTAGAAGCTCAAGTTGAGGAAATTGCAAGTACTCTTTTTCGTCAAGAAGAAGATGAAGAAGATACAAGTCAATTAATGACTAATCAAAGTGAGCAAAACATGATAATAGAAGAGAGTGAGGCAAGTGAGCTAGTGACTAATCCAATAGAGTATAAATTGAATTATGAGGACATTCCATGTAATCTTGAGCATGAGGAAATTGATACCTTAGAGAGTGAGGAGTTGTTGACCACTATAGAGGTAGGAGAGGAAAAGGAGGAACTTGTAAAGGAGAACATTCCTTTTATTATCTTGAACGACCCTCTTGAGGCGTGCCTTTTGAAAATGTATGAAGGATGTGGTTTTGACATCAAAAGCCCCACATATGAAGTGAACTTTCTAATGAACTCCATAGCTAACTTGGAAAGTGAAAAGATAGTGATCATTGAGGAAGAGAAAAGGGATGAAAAAAGTGCGTTTCCTAATAATTCAATTGAGTCTTTGAAAGACATTGCCTTGCCAAGTGCAAGGCTACCCATTATTGATTTCATTTTCAAGATCATGGATGAAAGAAAACAAATTGCATCTTACATCATTTCTTTTTAAGCCATTCTTTTGGGATATGAATTTGTTTTTATGAGAGAGGATCTACCTGGGAAGATAGACAAACGGATTAATGAGGATGTCTCATATCCCGTTTTTGATACTTTTGATTAGCATGTTGCCCCAATGTCTTGCTAGAGACGTTAAACATTAGTATTTTTCGTAGAGTTTCACAACTCTATTTTTCCCTTATTTCTTTTTGTTTTTCATTTGTATTTTTATTTCTTCGCATTTTTATTTTGTTTATACATACTTTGTTGTAGTTTACAAAAATATATAATAATAATAATAATAATACTAATAATAATAAATTTGCCAAAAGTATCAGGTGTCGGGCGATCATTCGCCTGGCATTGGGCGACCATCGCTCAGGGAAAAAAAAAAATTGCGTAAGGCGACCATCGCCCAGAAGAAAAAAATAAAAAAAGAAAGTGGGTAGTGTAGGCTAGTATTCGATTTTATTTCAATTTATTATTCTTTATTTATTATTATTTTTATATATTTTCTTTTATTTTAGAAGTTTTGTGTAAATAATAATAATAATAAATAAATAAATAAATAAATAAATAAAAACAATTGATCTCTCATTGTATATATTTTATTTAATTTTAGTATATATTTTTCTTTTTAGTTTAGTATATATTTTTTTTTGTTAAAAAAAAAATAAAAAATAAAAAAACACAACACTAACTAACAGTGGGTTGATCCCCACAATGGGAGATCAATCCCATGCTTTTGGCAGTAAGCAACAGAAAAATGACCCTAGTGGATTGATCCCCTAACTACGTGGATCGATCCATTTTTATTTGTGTTTCCACTTTCTTATTACATACTAAAGAGACAATTTTTTTGTCTAAAAATGTCGATCCCTCGTCAAAGGAGATCGAGCCCCTTAGCATTGCCCATTCACTGCCCCACCTTTCAATCCCCAAATAAATCTTCTTTTTCTCTCTGTGAATTCCTCAAGCGCGCTCAACCTCCCCTCCCAAGTTCTTCATCCAACTCTCACTGTTCTCTTCTTCTCTTCCGCGGCGCCATGGTGTTCGCTCTTCACTGTTTGAGACTCGACCTTCGCTTCGTTTAAGTAGCGGCGCCCTTTGCTTCACCCTTTATTTTTCAGACGTCGCGAGTAATGAAAAAGGAAACTGGTTATTCTCTGACGATGGGTTGAGGTTCGCCCTTTGCGTCGCCTCTTTGGGTTATTTTCCGGCGATTTTGGCTGAGTTGGGTGCGATTACAAGCTGGGTGGGGTTGCAGATTTGGTAGGTTTCAGGTCTGAAAAATAGCGATCGCGGCTGTTCGTCTTCCAGCATCGCATTTGTTCATTTTTTGGCGGTCGCAGCTGGATCGTTCAACGGCGTTGCGGCTGGTTCGCGGTTCTTCTCCGGTGAATTTGTGGGTCGCCGTTGGCTGGGTTGTTGTTCTCCGGCGATTTCGGATTGGTTTCGCCGGCGATTTTGGGCTGGGTTTTTCTCCAGCCTCGGTTTGAGACTCGGCGCCGCTGTTTTCTTCATCGTTTTGGGCTGGGTTTAAAACGCTGTAAAGGACGAAGCTTGTGGGTAGCAGGTCTTTCCGGCCGTGAGACTTTGCCCTTTATTTTTCCAGCGTGCGGTTGGTTCTTCTTCAGATCCGGCTTGTTCTTCTCTGATTCTGGCTGGATTCTCTCTGGCGATTTTGTCTTGGTCTCGCCGGCGATCAAGGCTGGTTCTTCTCCGGCCACGATTTCCGACAATTTGGGTTCTCACTTCTTGTTTTCTGGGTCACATCTGGGTTGTCTTTCTGGCGGCGCATCTGGGTTCTCTCTAGCGATCGCAGCTGGGTTCTTTTCCGGATCGCGGCCGTTCATCTTTCTGGTGTCGCGGCTGGGTTCTTCTCTGGTCGTGGCTGGGTCGTCGTTTTCTTCCGGCAAGTTTATGAATCGCCTTTTTCTCCGGCAATTTTGATTTGGCTGACGGTTTCTGAGTTTGTGAATCGCCGTTTTTGTGAGTTTATGATAAGCGCCGGATATTACATATTCAAGCGCCGTTATTTCCATTAGTTAAGTCCATTAATTGATAATGATGTATAGTTTAGCTTTATTTGTTTGTTTTCGTTTATTTTCAGGTCGGTTCCCCTGAATGTATCTAAAGGAACGGTTTTGACAATCTTTTGAAGAATCAAAGTAAGCCGTTGTTGGGGACTGTTACTTGAGCCAAGTTCCTTGAGCCATCATGTGTATGAATGTTGCGGCATTGTATTCAAAATGACGACCGCATCACTTGACCATCCAAGGAGGCTAAAGAGAAGGCTGAGAGCTTTTGGAAGTCAAGCCTTCGCGGGCGTCTGCCGCGCCACCTTGGGTGCCCGCCAATCATCACAGTAGCAGGCCCTCCTCCACGGGGCCCCGCAGCTCTCGCGGGCCCTCGTTGCGTACTCCCGTGGGCACCCGCCAAAACCCCCAGTACGCCACCTCCGGATGTAAGCACCCGCGGGCACCCGCCGATCTGCAGATAATAGCTTTCCTGCTCCTGCTTTTGTGCTAATCCTTGTTCCCTCTACATTTTGTGTGGTCCAAATGACTTATAGGGTGGTTGGAGCTCGTGATAGAGTGGATGGAAGTAGGTTTTTGCCTAGATAAGAGGCGGAAAGCTTGTATGGATCCATATCTCACATTTGGCTAAGTTCTAGAGAGAGAAATAGTGAGTTTGGAGGGTCTTGGGTGTTCTTGAGCTTAAGGTGCGAAAATGGAGAGGGATTCTTCATCTTCTTCTTCATTCTTTGTCTTCATGGGTAACTAACTCCCTATCTAGGGAGGTGATGAAGCTCCATTTTGTAAGCTTTGCTTTGTTTTGATTTATATTTGGGGGTTTAATGTATATATGTGACCTTTTCATGAACTAGAGCACTTTATTTGATGTAAAGAACTTCAATGTCTATTAATGATCATTTTGAGTTAAATATCTTGTCTTAGATTGTCTTTCTCTTATGATTACATTGCTACATTTTCATAGTGACAATGGAGATGAGTTTATGGAAGTGTTTTTATTGGCATGATAGTTAGGAAATTTGATAATCTATTACTTAGGGCCTTCCTTTGATAGATTATTCTTGATTTCTATTTCATGTGCTTTTATTATGAGATTAATGGTTTGATAATCTTTGACTTAGTGATTATGTCCAAGGTTGCATCTTAGTTAGGTAACCAAGACATGTAATACTTTGATAGGTTATTCTTGCCAATTGATTTCATAAATTTCTTGAAGGTAATGTAGCAATTTTGTGTGTTGCATTCCATGGTCATACATATATATGTTATTTCCTCAAGTAAATCATGTCCTAGCATGCTTATTGACAGGTAGTGGATTCACTTCCCTAGTCCTCTCTCTTTATTTTTTCTATCTCTTATTTCTTAGCACAATATTGTTTTATGCATTGTTCAATTCTTAATTTTCGTGACAAACCAACAAACCTCTTTACACCCCTTTCACCATTCTAAAAGTGGTTCTAAGTATCTTAGTTGCCATAACCTTGTAGTCCCAGTGGTTCGACTTACTCGACTAATAGCCCTATTTTACAATGATTTATACTATTGCAAAGGTTGATGTATAATTGTCATACCGATCAATTTTTGGCGCCATTGCCGGGGACTGCAAACAGTTTTACAACCGTGGTTCTAGGACTAACTTTGGTTTGATTGTGAATATTGTGTACTTGTGGATATTTTCTTGTTGGTTTCGTTTAATTTGTGTTTCAAGTTTTCTTGTGAGATTTTAGGTACTCAAGGCCTGTCGTGGGAAAGCTAGCGAATTTGTAAGTCTAAAAGACTCTCGGTATGTTTTCGAAGTCCTGGTCTCAAGTTTGTGGATATCTTACATGTGTATAAATTAGAGATACTTAGTTTATCTATATTGCAAAGCATCGGTCCTTGTTGTGGCCGTTTACTTTTCTGTCTTGATTGATAATTGAGGAGAACGGGAACATCGTATGTGGATGTGATGGTGAAGGGATATTATATTTGTTGTGAATTATGTAGTTGATGTTGGGTCGTAAGTCACTATCCTTGCCTACTCTTGAAGTACTAATTGATATAAATTCACTTGAAAGAACTCTTAGAAGAAACCTTAGGGAATCAGAAACTTTAAGAGGACTTGATCTTGAAATTAATACAATGGCCAACAATGAGGGAAATGTCAGGAATGCGGGGATCCATGATGATAAGGCTGAAGTTCCAAATGCTCCTATGACTCTTAGGGACCATTTCATCCCTACAACTTATGCCACTCCCTCTTACATAGTGATGCCAAACATTGAGGCAGCCCAATATGAGATCAAATCTAGTACCATCCAAATGCTTCCATTTTTTCATGGCTTTGAAAATAAGGACCCCTATAAGCGCTTTGATGAATTCCTCGAAATATGTTCTACCATCAAGCTGAGGGGCTTTCTTGACAATGCTCTTCATTTGCATCTTTTCCCATTCTCCTTAAAAGAAAGGGAAAAATATTGGTTGAACTCCCTTGCTGCAAACTCCATCAGTACATGGGCTCAATTTGCAACAAGAATTCTTAAAAAAGTACTATCCAGTGAGCAAAACCAACCTAATGAGGCGTTCTATTATTAGCTTTTCACAAAGCGAGGGGGAACAACTCCATGAGACTTGGGAAAGACTTCAAGATCTCCTTAGGAAATGCCCGCACCACTTAATTCCAAAATGGCAATTGGTGCAAGCCTTCTATGTTGGTTTAACTAATACCCATAGATTCATGGTTGACTCATCTTGTGGAGGGATGTTCATGTCTAAAAGTGCGGATAAAGCATGGACCATACTTAAGAATCTGAGTGAAAACTCACTGCAACATAATTCTCGTACTGCTCCAACCTCAACCAATACAAAGAACACCAACCCTTGTCAATCAAAGACAATGAGGGAAGAGTCTTCTCAAGTTGATGCCATAGCCCATAAATTCTATCAATTGATGGCACCACATCTCTTTCCTTCATTGTCTCAAAATTCAGCAAGTGCGGTGTGTGCATCATACACTAGTCCTTTCCATCTCTCAGAAGATTGTCCCACACCGGAACAATTTCCTAATCCCAATTAAGAGCAAGTAAATGCGATGTTCTCAAGGCTTGGAAATAATCCATATTCTAATACTTATAATCCGGGATGGAGAGATCATCCGAATTTCTCGTGGAGGCAACAAGCCCCACAAAATTCGAATTTCAAAATCAGCCCTCTTCTCAATTTCAAAATAGGCCATTTCAGGCCTCGTCAAGCTACTGTCCTCCGTATAACCCAAATGTCTCTAATTAACCTCCTACGTACCTAACTGATGAGATTTTGGCTGCAAACAAGTAAATGATGGAATCTCTAAACAAGCAAATGATGGAATTCAATAAGCAACTATTGACATCATTGCAGCCCACTCTCCAAATGGTTCATTCTCACACTCAGTCTATTGCTAAACTTGAGAATCAAGTAGGGCAAATAGCCACTTCAATGAACTAACTTCTTCAAAGAGATAAGGGGAAGCTTCCTACTCAACCATTTGAGAATCCTAGAGGGATTCATGTGATTGACGAAACCTCTCCTCCGAGTGGGCCAACTCATGAACAAGTCCAAGCAATCACCACCCTTAGGAGTGGTTGAGTTATGGATAACAAGGTTGATGGAAGTAACAATGACAAAGTTCTTCTTTCCAAAAATCCAAATCTCCTCTCTTCTAATCCAAAATTTACTCCTGAAAATCCAAAGTCTAATGCTGAAAATTCCAAACTTGTCCACCCAAATGTGGAGACGTCTTATGAGCCTAAGGCTCCGTTTCCTCAACGTCTCCAAGAGTCGACATATTTTGGGAACAAGAACTGCAAAATTCAAGACATGTGGGACAAGCAAGTAAAGATCAACTTGCCTCTCTTGGATGCTATAAAGCAAATCCCCCCCTATGCAAAATTTCTCAAGGATTTGTGCACTCAAAAGCACACTTCCAAAAATCATTTGCCAAAGAAAGTAAAATTGACTGAAAATGTGAGTGCAATCATTCAACACAGTGCTCCTCCAAAGTATAAGGATCCGGGCGCCCCAACTATCTCGTGTGTCATTGGCGACAACAAGATAGAAAGGGCCCTCCTTGACTTAGGAGCTAGTGTAAATTTGATTCCATATTCAGTTTACTTACAGCTTGGGTTGGGAGATCTAAAGCCAACCTCCGTGGTCTTGCAGTTTGCCGACAGATTGGTCAAGCACCCACGGGGTATTCTTGAAGATATCATAATCAAAGTGGACAAATTCTACTTCCCGGTAAACTTTGTGGTTCTTGACACGGAACCGGTCCATAATCCAAAGAAACATATTCCTGTGATCCTCGGTAGGCCATTCTTAGCCACGGCTAACACCTCAATTAATTGCCGAACCGGGGTCATGGACATCGCCTTTGGAAATATGCTAGTCAAACTCCACATTTTCTATGCCACTCAACATCCTTCCGAGGAAGATGATTGTTTCCTTATTGATGTGGTCGATGAAGTGGTTGAAGTATCTCTCCCTTTCATTCTAAGCAAAGATCCTTTGGAAACTTGCATGTCTCATTTTGACCTCTCGAACTTTGATATTGACCAAGCCATCCAAGAAGTAAATTCGTTGCTCGACATAGGTGTTATCATAGATTTTCCTCCTTGGAAGATGCCTAAAAAACCACTTCCTCAACTCTCTACTACTCCTCCTATCCCTTCCTTGAAATCTCCACCATAACTTGAGTTAAAGCCGCTCCCGGCCCACCTCAAGTATATGTTTCTTGGTGTCAATCAACCTATTCCGGTCATCATTGCATCGGACCTTTTAAAAGACCAAGAAAATAGCCTTTTAGCACTGCTTCAAGAGCACAAAGAAGCTATTGGCTGGGCAGTGGCTGATTTGAAAGGAATCGATCCTTCTATTTGTATGCACTGTATTCATTTGGAGGACGACGCTAAACCTTTTAGAGAGGTGCAGCGCCGGTTGAATCCCAACATGAAAGAAGTGGTCATGAAAGAAGTAATCAAATTGCTAGATGCGGGAATCATCTACCCCATCTCTGATAGCAAGTGGGTAAGCCCCACTCAAGTGGTCCCCAAGAAATCCGGCCTCACCGTTATTAAAAACTCAACGGGTGAGCTCGTGCCACAACGAACCACCACCGGGTGGCGTGTGTGCATTGACTACCAGAAACTCAATTCTACCACTAGGAAGGATCATTTTCCACTTTCATTCATTGATTAAATCCTAGAAAGGCTAGCTGGCCAAAGCTATTATTGTTTTCTTGACGATTATTCCGGCTATAACCAAGTGCAATCGCCCCCCAAGATTAAGAGAAAACAACCTTCACATGTCCCTTTGGAACTTTTGCCTATAGACGCATGCCCTTTGGGCTATGTAATACACCGGCAACATTTCAAAGGTGCATGATGTCCATATTATCTGATATGGTTGAAAAATTCTTGGAAGTTTTCATGGACGATTTTTTTGTCTTTGGTTCCTCCTTCGATTCATGTCTCCATAATCTATCTCTTGTACTTCAAAGATGCAAGGAGACAAATTTAATTCTAAGCTGGGAGAATAGTCACTTTATGGTCCAAGAGGGGATTGTTCTAGGACATATTATTTTAAGAAGAGGAATTAAGGTTGACAAAGCCAAAGTAGAGTTAATTTCTAATCTCCGTCCTTCAAATTCTGTCCATCAAATCAACTCATTCCTTGGTTATGTCGGATTTTATCGTCGCTTCATCAAGGATTTTAGTAAAATTTCTCGGCCCTTGTGTAATCTTCTTACCAAGGATGCTCCGTTTGATTTTGATGAAGCTTGTATGGAAGCTTTCATGACACTTCGCACTCTTCTCTCATCCGCCCCAATCATGAAACCGCCTAATTGGTCTCTTCCATTTGAGATCATGTGTGATGCATCCGATTATGCATTAGGCGC